ATTAGCTCGTTGTTCCATTGCAGTTATGTGGTGATTTGCCTAGAGGAAATCTAAATTCAAAGGTACCTTTCCTGCTCCTAGATGTTAAAGCCATTGCAAAGCTGTTTAATTCTGATCCCAGTTTCTTCACTAATGTAGTTACAGAAAGCAGTAAGGAGTGTGGAAATGAATGTTTTCTATTCATGAGTGTCCTGTGAGAGCAGGCCGAAGAAATTTGGCGAGTTGTGTTGCTTGTAGCTCTCCATGTCAGGCACTCATAAATTGTTCATAATTATACATAAAAGAAAAGATGATTTTGCAGCAAGTACAAAAGTAAAACCATGTGATTGGGCTAGAGAAATGGCTCAGTAGCTAAGAGCACTTTCTGCTCTTCCAGAGGACCTGGGTTTGGATCCCAGCACTCACTTAGGACAGCTTACAACTGCCTTTTTAACAGAGCTTACAACTGCCTTTAACTACAGCTCCAGGGAATCTGGCACCCTGTTCTGGCCTCTGAGGGCATCCATACACACATGGCACACACTCTAACAGATACATAAAGTAAATAATCGTTTTTTGGGGACAGGGTCTCACTATGTAGCCCTAGCTGGTCTGGAACTCAGAGATCTACCTGCCTCTGCTTTCCAGGTGCTGAGATTAAAATAATGTGCCATCATTCCTGGCAAAATAAATCTTAATTTAAACCTGTGTGATAACTTTATGCAGACACGTGGAAGCAATGAAATTGGGAACGAAGAGTAGTTGGGTGATTGTGAAACTCCTATTGTTTTCTCAGATTATCAAAGTATTGTTTGAACAAGTAGACAATTTCCTTGACATAGGCTTCTGACCCTTTCTTTGTTCCTTCTAAGGAGTGATAACAGGGGTGAAGGGTTCCTTCACCATGGTGTTTACTGTCCTGATGTTGGATTATTCTGCCAGCTCCTTGACATTGTCTGTAGGAACAGGAGAGAATGCACTGACGGTACCAACACTGATTGTGGACCTCTATTTTCGGTTCATGCTGGTGAGTATAAACTCTGCTTTTTTAAGAGGAAAATTTTCCTTGTGTTCCTATCTGTGGGTGGAAAATCTGCTTTGAGGGTTCTGTACATAGGGCATGAGGCAACATGCTTAAATCTTGTATTGTATAGTCTGTAGCACAGAAGGCACTGCCTTTCTTCCTGGCTTTTTTTCTTTTTTTTTCTTTTTTGCTATTACTCTAAACTTGGTTCTATTAATGAGCTCTTAAAAGACATTTCTTCGAGAGACATATTACAAAACCAATAAATAGGAACTTCAAAACCCAAAGAAGTATGATTGGCCGATTCCCTCACATAAGAACAGGTCATCTCCTTCCTTCGTGCTCCTGTTAGAGAACACTCTGTAGCTAGACCAGAGCTGAAGTTTGGTTAGGTTCACTGCACTCCAAAGGGAAACAAAGCTCAGGAGAAGTAAAAAGTGGGGAGCAATGTGGGTGCTGGGAATGGAATCCAGGTCTTCTGCAAGAACAGCCAGCGCTATTAACCACTGAGCCATCTCTCTAGCCCCTAATTTTAATTTTTTATTGCTTTAAGAATTTCATCTGAGCTGGACATGGTGGTGCACATCATTAATCCCAATACTCAGGTAGAGTACGGTGGATCTCTCTGAGACAGAGCCCAGCCTGATCTACATAGGGAGTTCCAGGAAACCCTGTCTCAAAACAGACCAAAAGGAAAAAACAAAACAAAACAGTGTGTTTGATCACATCCACCCACCCAATTACGAGTCCTCTTTACCCCCTCCCCCATTTGTTCCCTCCCAATTTCATATGCTGTTTTTCTTTAAGCCTGCAGAGCCCACTTACAGGTGCCTGTATGTGCTTGGGTGTAAGGGCCGTCTACTGGAGCATAGGCATCATCTCAGAGGCTGTATCCTTAAACAGAATTGATGTTCCCTTTTCTAGTAACCATCAATTGCCAATAAGTCCTCAGCTAGAGGTGGGATTTTGTGACAACCTCCCCTTTAAATACTGAGATTTTGTCTGGCTTGATCTTGCACAAGTATTGTGCATGCTGTCACCACCACTGTGAGTTCACATGTGCAACTGCCCTGTTGTGTTCAAAACCCACTGGTTGTAGTCATCAACTGCCTCTGGCTATTACAATCTTTCTATCTCCTCTTCCACAATGATCCCCGAGCATTGGGAGGAGGGAATGTGATATGGATGTTTCACTTAGAAGGGAGTACTTTGCAGTCTTCTATTCTCTGCACAATGACCAGTTGTGGGTTTTTGTGCTGATTGCTATGTACTTCAAAGGGAAGCATCTCTGATGGGAGCTGAGAGATGCACTAATCTATAGATATGGACGTAAGTCATAGGAGTTGCTTTAATACGATGTCCATTCAAAGAGTAATAGTAGTAAGTTCTCCTTTAAGGCTGTGACCTTTCTAGCCACAGGTTCATGGCTCTGTTAACAGTGCTAGGCATGGGTTCCATTTGTAGAGGGAGTCTAAAACCCTATCAGAAAATGACTGGTTACTCCAA